CTAGTTAAGGACAGCCCCACCACTGGGCCAGTGAAGTCTTGGGCCATGGTTCCCTGCCACCTTCCATCTCCTAGAAAGGAAGACTGGAAGCATCATGCACACAAAGTGGTGGCTGTCCTGTCACTGTCGGGCTGCCTTGGTTGTTTTCCTGTCACTGTTGGGCTGCCTTGGTTGTTTTCCTGTCACTGTTGGGCTGCCTTGGTTGTTTTCCTGTCACTGTCGGGCTGCCTTGGTTGTTTTCCTGTCACTGTCGCGCTGCCTTGGTTGTTTTCCTGTCACTGTTGGGCTGCCTTGGTTGTTTTCCTGTCACTGTTGCGCTGCCTTGGTTGTTTTCCTGTCACTGTTGGGCTGCCTTGGTTATTTTCCTGTCACTGTCGCGCTGCCTTGGTTGTTTCCTGTGACTATCGGGCTGCCTTGGTTGTTTCCAGCTCAATGGCAACACTAGAGAAGACAGTTGGAGGAACGTGGAAGGGGAAAACTCCCACTAGGGCACCTCCCTTGTTAAAAACGGCTCAGGAATGTATTATTTGAATATGTTCACGATGCTGCTTTAAAAAAATATCAAGAGCAGATCCAGTGGGCAGAGGGGACGTTACATAGGTGAGGCTCAAGGAAGCGTGGAAAGAGATTAGAGACAGCAAGCCCAGAACAGTTCCTGAGAAATTCATCCTGAAAGTGATGTAGCTGGTGGGAAGCAAGGCCAAGAGGAGACTTCACAAGCATGAGCCTACAAGCAGCCTGCTTGAGGTCTAGACTGATCTTCAGAACAGCGGTCCTCTTTATTTTCTTTAACTTTTTTGTTTCCTCCAACATTACTTTTAATTTAATTTTTAATGTGGTCTGAACATGTAATATGAAATCTAACCCTTTGTTATGTGCAGTGTAGTAGTGGGAACCACTGTAGGAGGAAGCCTGTATGCCACCATTAACCATGTGACTTACTAGAGGCGCATACAGATGAGGTAATAAAAGCGGTTTACCACACCGCTAACCACACCCACTTTAGGCATGACTAAAGACGTATATGGACGGACGTAAAGATGTATACGTACATAGGCGGTGAACTATGTCACTAGCCAGGCCCACTTTTGGGCATGGCTAGGGGGCGTTATGGGGGAAGGCATAAAAGACCGAAGAACGGAAGTCTTGGTCTCTTTTCCGGCTTTCGGCTTCCAGTTCGGCAGCGGAAAACTACTGGGCTCATCTGGGTTACTTGTTTGGTATCTTGTGAGTAATTTCTACAATAAATACTTAGTTTTACTTTTAGCAAGTGTGCCGCTTATCGTTACAGCGTCACACCACAAAGGAATAGTATACAATATTGCATTGCATTTGCTGACAGCTTACTCATCTTGTCCTTTGACATCATTTTCATACACTTCATATCCATTAATAGCATTTTCCTATGACTGGCTTCCCAAGCCTTGGTAACTAGCATTCTACATCAACATGTGTGAATTTGATCATATATATGTGAATTTGATCATATATATATCACAATACGTATAAATATATGTATATTATATATACATATATACATACATATATGCATTCATATATGAGAGGGTGGGTGGTTTGCATGCATGTTCATGTGTGTGGAGTCCAGAGACCAAACTCCTATATCATTTCTCAGGAGCTATTAATCTTGTTCTTTTAGACAGGATCTCTCACTGAGATCTAGACTGGAAAACTAGTGAGTCCTAAAGATCCATCTACCTTTGTCACTCTGTTTCATCTCCCCAGTGATGTGATTAGAGTGCAAGCCACTCTGGCATTTTATGAAGAGCTGTGGACCAAACTCAGGTCTTCATGCTGTGTACAAAATACTTTACTATTTTACTATGCCATCTTCCTAATTATCTATCTATCTATCTATCTATCTATCTATCTATCTATCTATCTATCCATCCATCCATCCATCCATCCATCCATCCATCCATCCATCCATCCATCTATAGGTGTATGTGTGTAAAATATATTTTTGCATGTGTGTGTGTGTGTATAGAAAAGGTCTTACTATGCAATCTAGGCTAACATGTAACTCACTATGTAGTCCAGGCTAGCTTTGAATCCATGGAGAATTCTGTTTCATCCTTTCAAATGTTAAGATTACAGATATAAGACATCACACTTGGCTGAGTTTGATTATGTTAGTTGACTAAGTTTGGTTATATTAGGTATATCATTTAAATGGTAAAAATAAAATAACGGGGGAAAATATCCCTAGACTAGACTTCAATTATTGTCATTTTACCCTTACTCTCATTCTCATGAATAGCGGCAACCACATGCTGCATTGGTAGGGGGTAGGGGTGAGATTTTGGGGTGGGACATGTCCAAAATCCTGGTTCTAGGAAGATAACATTCCCTGTCACTGGAGTGGAGAAGATGGGCACATTCTGTCTTGGTATTTTCCATTTGGTTAAGTTGACTCTTAATGACTTGAAACAAGTAGAATCATAAGGAAGTAAATGCTGCTCCAATTCTTATATTACACAATTCCATTTCTGCTCTCATGTACACTAAGTTGTTTGGAAGAAAATCTGCTAAATTAAATTTGGTTTGATTAGGAAATTTGCGTCATGTGCAGGCAAAGTATGGTATGTGTGGGTTAAAAAATGTTCCGGTTATTTAAAAAAAAGTTTCACAGATGATTCAGCTTTACCATAGCTTCATTAGTGAACTGAATTTCTGTTCCCGAGGATGTGTTGGGGGCAGACTTTGCTTTGGCCCTTTGTTGGGAAATCTCTCAAGTCCCATCCTTGTTGGTCCCGTGTGACGAAAAGCACTATGGCCTCAAAGACTGGCTGGGCCATTTGAGTGTCTTCATGTCCTTCCTGCTCCACTCCCAGAGACCCCTTCATGGGTCCCTTTACTTCCTTTTCATAAACTTGAGCCTGCTTCTCACCAGCTTTTCCAGCATAGACCTTGCGTCTCCTCTTTGTTGGTCTAAGTCCTTAGCTGCATTTCAACCCACAAAATCACTGTCCACTTTACTGCCAACCTCTAAACAAAGGCATGGAGAGTTGTCTGAAGTGTTTCAGGCTGAGGAAGGGGCTTGAGAGAAGGTCAAATGTCACAGTAGGGTGCAGGGCCAGGGCAGTTAGATAGCCAAGAGCATGTGGCAGAGTCTGGGAGCTGTTGTTTGTAGGTAATACAGAGGCCCACTTTTCAACCTTAGTCTCTGTTGGGATGAACAGAATCTTGCATCTTACAGTCATTGACAAGCATCCAAAGAGTATGTGAAGATTAAAAAATAGATGGAGCTTTCCTGTTATGTTAGGTGTGTGATTATTGTATAAAGAAGACACTGCATGGACAGACAGACAGAATGTCTCCCCAAACTTCAGAAACTGTGCTGAGGACCAGGGCCATGAGGCAGCTCACAGAGCTGTAAATAGATGCAAATGTCCAGCTGTGGTCTTTTCATCCACTAAAGGTCTAGGTCATTTTTCACGCTCCTTTCCCTTTTATCCGTTTTGTTCATGGAATGACAATTTGTAGGCTAGGGTTCACAGGTAGTTTTGACACGGGCCATGTGGGGTACCCTAGTATTCCAGACAATTCCCTGATGTTCCTAGCCCCTGGCCATTTCCCCTTCTCCCTGAGGTAATAATGATTACACTAATTCCTATTGTTATAGACTGACCAAATCTTTTCCAGAAATGCATAAAAATGGATTCATAGATTGCTCCTTTAAGGTCTAGAGCTTCATGCCTCAAACGTGTGGAGAAACTCCTAAGGCTTCTGTGACTGAGATCAAAGGGTCATCTTTCGGGAAGTGTGTGGGTATTCCTAGGTCCCAGGGCTTCTGCATTGGTGTGGAGGACTTTAGGTGACAGCTGGACTGGGGAGGGGTGAGGAAGGAGCTGGGGAGCTCATAGCTACCCTTCTCGTCCTCATACAGCACAGCTGTACTTTTTCATGTTGTACAAATTGGGGTTCACTGAAAAGTTGCATTTGGGAAAGGGGGACGTTAATTAATAAATGGTTATCTGTGTTAGCATCATGGGAAATATTGATCATTGCATTTTGTTTTCTAAAGAACCACAAATCTCAAGACTCTTAAGTGATCCCCCCCTTTTTTGTGTCAGTCCATAAATTGCCAATATCGTTCTTTGATAACAGAGTGGAGACAGCCCTGGAGGGAGGGCTGGGGAACAGAGACAGCCAGACTGGGGGCTCCCAAGGGAGAGCTTGGGCACCAGCACTGTAATATTAGTATTGGCTACCATCAGACAGCACCAGCCCAACTAAGGTACCTAGACAATAGGCCAGAGGCTACAGGCAAGGGAGGCACAAAGACAGCATTCAAAAGACCCTGCTGCTGCCAGCCAGCACTTCCACAGACTCCGCCAGACCCAGGCCAGGCCTGCACACTATCCCATGGCCAGAAAGCAGAAACCCCTTTTTTACAGCGAGCTTTTAAAGTGCTAAAAATAATAAACACAGAAAGGAAAGTGCTGACACAGCCTTAGATGCAGAGACAAACGGAAGCTGTTGTTCTAATGCTGAAAACAAAGTAGTTTCATAATTACAGCCTAGCACCCCAAACAGGGTGATTGATATTACCACACTTCTCTAGGATGAAGGGGGTGGTCCTGAGGACTTATCAGCAAACCAATGAAACCTCCATCTACCTGCTCACCCTCCCTGCTCACTCTGACCAAAGCTTATCTAGTTCTTGGACTTTTTTTTTTTTTTTTTTTTTTTGCACTCAAGGAAAAGATACTTGAGATGGAATCTGATTCTTCAAGCACAATTTTCTTGTGAAACAAGAGGAATGGCCCTTTCCACCCAGCATTCTGTGACTGCCATCCTTCCCTGAGTAAATTTACCCCATTTCTTTTCCTTGATACAGTTTCAGCCACATAACTCCTTGTATTTCTCTGGAATACCAACCTCAGCTATGCTAAATACATTTTTAAAAAGCGGTGCTGCCACAGGTTTAAAGGTAAAAGGTCTGCAAGTGCAAATAGAAAGTGAAGGCTGACTCTGACCTTATTCATTAAGTCATGTGTGGGGCCTGGTACCACGCAGGTTCTCCCATGAGATGGAAACCACAGATCTGGAAAAAATGAAACACAAGAAGAGAAATATAAGTTGTTTTTCAAATTTAAGTTCCTCAGCATTTGATTAATCAGTACCTGCTCTTATTTCTGTCTGGGGTCAGGTTTCAGAGCTGTCTCCGATTTTGAATAAATGCAAATGACTTAGATAAAATCTCATTCTGAACTGGACATAGTTTCATGGAAGGAAACTCTAATACCAGGCTGTAATCACAGAGCTCAGGGGAGCGACAACCTTCCTGCCTCCCAAAGACCTACTTTTCTATGGGGATTCAGGAGCTTTACATTCTCAGCCTGGGAGACAGCTAAAAGACAAACAAGGATCTCCAGGTGATGGGGATTTATGCTAATGAGAGGCAATTTCCTATTCCTGGGCATGAGCCAGCACCCTGCTCTGCTCAAGGTGTGGCTCCAAGCACCTGCAGGGACAGAGGGCTGCATGGGGCCTCAGCCCAGCCCAAAGTGGAGTTGCCTGGAGAGTTTATTCAGTGTGGCCTATGGGGGACAGTTTCTGCAGCTAGAAAAAAACACATGGTGGCACCTGCTGGGAGCAGGTGGCAATCGGGGCAGCACCTGTGTCTAAGAGTCTGTCAGCTCTGGTCTTACAACTTTTGTCATTGTCGTGGGGCTCAGAAGTCACAGCCAAAGGTCAGGATCGCTGACACCCAGAACTGAAGACAGCTTTTCACATCTGTTTCACCAAAATAATGAAAAGAGCACTGCTGTAATTTCCTTGATAACCTGCCCTAAGCCTAGATCATAAATTGATGTGTAAATTGCCAGACTTTGCTTTTTTTGTAGTCACAAAAATATCTATGTATCCATGACAACAGTGTGCCTATGGGTGATATTTGTGATTTGTTTTCGAAGCAAGGTCTCATTTTTGAAGCCTAGGCTGTCCTTGAACTTGGTCTATAGTCCAGGTTGGACCCAAACCCATGGTGATCCTCCTGCTTCAGCGTTGTAAGTCCTGGGATTACAACAGTGAGTCGCCATTGTTTGACTTGGACTTTGGTGGTTGGGTTGTATTGGTGGTGTTGGAAACATTCTATTACTAAGCTGTCGTGTGCTGTTTGAACTCACCAAGAAGCTGGCTCTGGAGAGAAGGCTCCTCTCCCACCTATTATTGTAGACTCAAGCATATTTGTCTCAATGTATCTGTCAAGTCCTTGACAGAGAACTGGCTGGCCCCCGACCTTGTGAAAAGGGTAACGGAGAAGAGAAAAACAGCCCCAAAGTAATTGTGTCCCTAAGAACACCTAGGAAGGCAGAGCATTTCTAGCACAGGTTATGCTTGTTCATCTCATGATATAAAAATTCCTGCAGTGCTGAGGTAACTGACACTCACAGCATGCCCAACTTTTCACGGGAATACCGTGACGCCGAGCTCAGCTCCTCACTCTTGCAGGGCAAGAGGTCTACTCACCCAGCCATCACCACAACCTGGGCATTTTAAATTTACTGTATCGTGTGACTTTCTGTCTTTGTATGGCTCTGTCTACATTTTTTTTGAACCGCATATAGTAACTGCACCGAGTTCTGGACTTTGCTGTATTGTCTACATTTGTGAATGTACTTTAATCACACCGGCCCCCTTTTATACCCTCCTTCCCTTCCTCCATTTCCACAGTGCTCTCCCCATCACAGTGCAGGATTTTTTATATCATGAGATGAACAAGCATAACCTGTGCTGTCACTTCACTCTGGGTTTACAGCACCAGAAAAGCTCTGTTTATTACAGAGAAGGCACTCCTGGTCACGCAACAGTGTGCAATGCATGTTGGCTAGGTGCCGATTCTCTCTGCTGCCCCCACTCCCAGCTTTTTGATGAAGCTTCACCTTGTCTTCATGAAGGATCATCTACACTACGCCTCCAGGGAGAACACACATGCCATGCATATACAGGCAACACGTAAAATTTACTAGTGCTAACATATGTCACTTGAACAACGCATTAAAGATGATTGTGAAACTGTATTCACCTAGTTTCTTCAAAATACCTTTCTGCTGCTCTTGTCATAAACCTTCTAATCTAAAACCTACAGCGTTATCTCACTGTGAATAGGAAAGCTGATAGTGTTAGGCTATACACCAAAGCGCAGAGAAGCACGCTATATCCTAAGAGCACTTCCAAAGAGAAGTCAATAGAGCAAAGAGGCTTGTGTTTGAAGCTGTTTGGCTTTATTGTAGTTTTAAGTACGTGCACACCCTTAGCCTTGACATTAATATCTAAAAGTAAACAGTGCCGTTTGTAGAAACAATATCAAACTTCAATACATATGGACATAATGTAATAGATTAATTCTGATTTAGACTTTAAGCAAGAGATTTGAACTTAGCTACATGGAACCAATAGAAAGCCTCACATAATTCACACTAGAAAGTTTTTTAAATCTTTTATTTTACTTTGTACAGGTCCCATGCTGTATGCAAGACCAGCCTGGAATTCACTATGTAGTCCAGGCTTCCTTAGAACCTTCTGTCTTCTGTCCCAGCCTCCAGAGTGCTGGCACCTTAGGTAACAGCTTCATTCATGAGCTTTTACTAAGTGTACTTTATGGGGCAGACAGTATAAACAGGCTTGTCTTCCAGATTTGGAAAGGGGAGGAGGAGAAAGAGTGAGGCAGACATTAGGGAGGAGTTCCGCTCCGGGACTCTGATGCCATATGCTTGTTCCGAATGCTTGAGAACAAGCTCTAGTTTTAAAGTCAAAACTGTTAAAAACCTGGTGCCGCGGAGTTGGCCCCAGAATCTTTGTATAGACAGCGTCTCTTTCATGGTGTGTTCCTGAGAAGTAACCTCATTCGAGTCTGTCCAGGAGACAAGCTCAGGGGTGATTTGGTTGTTCTGAAGGCCAGTTAAAGGAGGGAGCTCAAGCTAAACCCTCCCAACCTAAACACACATGGTTTTAACTCTTCTCTTTAGAAAACAGGCAACTGAGAGTTTGTGCAGAGCTCAAAGGACTGCCCAAAGTCATAACGAGAAGCCTTTCCTGGAAGAACTATAGTTCAGAATGTGTGCCTTTTACACATTTTAAAATTTGGGGCACAAATATGTTACTAGTGTGGTTACTTTGTAGTTTCAACAGAATACTGTTTTGTAACTGATTCATTTTCCAACTTGGGATACTTTTATTTATGGGCGTGAAGCGGTTCGTTTTGTTTAGTCATCAGACCTGAGGTGAGGTTGGCACTGTTTCATGGCCCTTCCCAATTAATGCAAATTGAAGGGTAGAGGAGAACTAGAACTTCTTTAACTTGCTTCACAGATCTGTCGTAAACAGCTCTTCACTTGATCTATTTTGGGGGAGGGCGTAGCTGTGAACAAACAAAACAACCCCGAAGAAACTAGCAATTACATAATGTGTAATTTTACCACCAAGCTTGGAAAGGGTTAAATTTATTTATTTTATTTTTTGAAAGGGTTAAATTTATATCTAAGTTATTTGTTCGTTTATTCTGAGACAGGGTCCTCCCTGTGTAGCCAGGAACTGGCTATGCAAACTAGGCTGGCCTCAGACGTACAGAGATTGGCTTGTTTCTGCCTCCTGAGTGCTGGGATGAAAGGTGTGGGCCGCCACATCTGGCTAATCAAAAACCAATCTCCTAGACGTCTAACTCGTCTATCCATCCATCTTTAGTCTCTCCGATCTCACCTCAGTAGACCAAAGTGTGTGACTAGCGCGTGCTCCTTTGTTTCTGTTTTTAAAGGGTTTGCTAAGTCTTTTTAAATTTTATTTTGATGGTCCCACTACAATCCCTCATAGCACTACACAGTCACAGCTGCAGAAGCCAGCGAGGTCTTTTCTTAATGCCGTACCTTATATACATTGCAGAGGTTCCAGTTCTCACCCACATAAGGTATTGCATAGGACAATGTGTTTAATGGCAATGGCTCCTTTTACACTGAGATCAACATTTCTGAATAGACTAGAGAGGTTGTTCCAGTCATGCATGAAGCCCGAGGTCCTGTTTTCCATGAGAGAAGCAGAAGAGGACACCAGATCTCATGGAGCTGGAGATCCAGGTGGTTGTGTAGTCCCTGACATGGGTGCTGGGGATCAAACTCGGGTCCTGTGCAGAGCAGCGAGCATGCTTAAACACCTGTGATTTTTTTGATGTATCCTTTTTCAATTAAAAAAATTACTTCTTATTCTGTGATCTCCCTGTCCTTCCCTTTCCCTGCCTCCTCCTCAATGGTCTACTCTTTTTGCCGTCTTGTAGGCTGATGGACCGTTTTGTACAGTCTTAATGCCTTACAGGTTTTTTAATTCTTACTCCTTTGGTTTTGCTTTATAAAACCTGGGTGGTACAGATTGTTTTTCTAACTTTTCCTTTTCAAGATTGCTAACTGTCATGAGACTAAGCTTTTGAAGGTTTCAAATACTTAACACTGTAATAATAATGTGTGCCACCCTCCCTCACCCCTGCACTAACTCTCTCACCTCCCTGCTCAGTGAAGAAGTTGTGTCTTTTCCCCTGCATCCTTCCGTTCTATTTTTCATCACATGACTTTTGCTCTGTAAAATTTTCATCAGACATGCTAACATAGAAGTTTGAGAAAGTTCTTGCTCCATCTGGGTGTCTCTCTGCTGCCCCATGATTGCCTTGGGGACTTGCCTGGCCTAGCCTCTCAGATAAGAATTATACAGTGGAAATAGCTCCTGTTAACCATCTCCATAAGGTGAAGATGACAGAGCTACCCAGCTGCTGTTGCCCACAGAATCCCAAGGGAGCCCCAGTTGGGACAAAAGACCCACCCTGCTAACCTTTGAACCCATGAACTCATAAACACTGATTGTTTCAAACTTCTGGGTTTGGAGATAATTTTTTATTGATCAAAGAGGCCCAGATAATATCATTGAGTACTATTAACTGATACAGGGTTTATCTGTTGTACCGAGGGATGACCACACAGAAGACAGTTTAAAGCCAAGCAATAAATTCAGCAAATATCTGCCAAATGTTGGCTTGATCAGGAAAGATTTATACAGGATATA